AGTGGCAGCAGTCGTAGTAGTGGCAGCAGTCGTAGTAGAAACTGAAAACAAATCAAATAGCATTTTTAACATACACACGTGATCAAGCTTAACATTACCACCTTTCATCGCCATTACGTATCCTTTTTATTGCTATTACTATGCTCACTTGCTTGGTCCTCAGGCTCGATAGCCGCGTACAATTTATTCAAAACTCAAAGCTACCGCATGATATAATAGCCAATTTTGCAATCCCCAATGTCCACCTGTATGGTGACAAAATCACTCAAGGAAACTTCTGGTCTAAAATTTGCTTGCGTGCTTCTTGAATTCACTTGTAAATTACTTTGTTTTTCAGTGAGATATAAGATATCATTTTTTTTCTTCTTTTTCTTTGAAACAATATGCATAGTATTTGGACGAGTAGTCTGATTCCATAAGTCGTAGTATTYGCTCMTCGATTTGTCGGTTTCCTGCTCAAACTAGCGACTTATGTCCTTTATCAGACTTGACGGTACAAACRACAACGAGGCTCGTTCACATTTCTGGGATTGAATTAATTCCCAGTACAGTCGGATCTTTGTTTACAAAATGTTGCTAATTAGCATAACGTTTATATTTAAAAAAATGTAAAAGACGTTCAACGGTGTCTCGCTTCGATGCAAAGGCATGGCTASCTTTCAAGATGGCGCAGGTAACCGTGAAGGAGACTATTTGAGCCGCCGACGTCAATARGAAATGAAATTTTACTTTCGGTCTACAACAAAAGTTTGGCGCGCCTCGAAGTGAGTACGCGCGAACATGAAATTTGCCATTCTTGCGTACGCGCGTACGAACTTCGATGCGCACCAAAATTTTGGCRCAAACCGGGAGTAAAATTTCACTAGTCCAGTTGACATCGGCGTCTTAAAAATTGTTGATGCTTAAGTTCTCTAATAAAAGCATGCACAGCTCGTTCTTTTCTTCTCTCGAACAGTAGTTGTGCAGCCTATAGCTGAGAGAGTTATGCGGCAACTGTCTGGAAATTTAATCAAACCAAATCCTAATTTACAGATCAACCAGTTGATTATTTCTATAAGAACGTTGTAGTAAGTAAAGAAAAATTAGATAAAATWTATAGCAGTTGAAGTGTTTGATTTTGCAACTTTTGATTATTTRATTGATCATGATCAGTCGGCGACACTTGTTTACTTGCATTTGTAAATTTACAGATATTCACAAGGTATCTCATCAGWGTTAACATATCAAACTTATTGCCATACATCGGGTGACATTTGCTTAGATGTCTTAGATTAATCTTTTGATATGTTATAAATGAAGAGGCCGAAAAAGAGCACAAATACAGCATTTTTTAAAAGAATATATAGGCATGTTTATCGGTCRTTAGAAAAGCAAAAAGCGKATTTTGCTCTCCGAAAYCCTGGGACTCTTCAACAATAGCTTTTACTTCAATAGCCTTCACAAGAATAATMAAAACCACAGGCATAAATCGCTCGATCAAAATTGAAGGAAATGGCCTGATCACGGACTTTTTGTCACCATTAAGTTTGATATGCTATGAAAGTGTCAGTGAAATGGAAATGCATGCATTCTTCTCTCAGCGAATCGTAAYCCTGCCCTTGTCCAAGAAGCCCTTTCCTCTAGTACTTACACATTATTACTCGTAAGCTCCATCAAAGTATTAAAAAAAGRTGGCGTCTCAAAATTTTTCTCGAACCGGAAATCGTTTGTCAATCGATCTTGAAGCAATCTCCGAAAAAGATCGTCTCTGATTGGCCAAAATCAATATTGTTTTAGAACAATWACTGTAATTGGACCATTATAAATTTTTTTTWATGCGAATCATTTCTGATAGTAAAATACATAAGTCGGACATTTGAGCGACAAAAAGTATCAACAAAGAGGGAACTGGTGCCGACTTATAGAATCAGTCTATGGGATGGGGCTGTAGCTGTTTTTTAGTATTTTTTTCTCGAAATGGGTACCCTGTGGTATGAAGTGTTAAACATTTWGTAATATTGGTTTCATGGATTTAGTGCATCCACTCGATTAATYATTTCCGTTGTCATCATTTTAATTTCATTATATCTTAGTTAGGCCTAGTCCGGGACCTAAAATTGCCGTAATTTTGGGCGATTGTAGGCGATTTTAAGCGATTTTAGGCGATTTAAGCAAAAATCAACAAAAACCCATCTAAATCTAAGGTGATTTACTGCGATTTTGGGCGATTTTGGGCGATTTTAGGCAATTTTAGGTCCCGGACTAGGCTTTTAGTTTAATTTGTTTTTTTTGTTTTTAAGGAAAATCAGTATGGAAATGTGCAGTGCTTATGCAATTCAATGCAGAGCAGTGATACTTAGAAGCCAAGCAAGTGATTAAAGTGAAATGATCATRTTCCTATTAGTTAAACGATGAATGCGAACATCATCGTTATATTAATCACTTTATCATCGTTGTTGTTATCTRTGATCTTTTCAACGAGATTCTCTATGCCATGGTCAACCGTCATCCCTTACGAGCTTTTGCTCCTTTTAAGCCAAAAAAGGTCTGAAAATAAAAGCGCTAGTAATATGATAATAGGTAATACTCAAAGAATGGACATATTGTAAGATTCAACCTTAAAACCGACCGATGGAAAGGTGATATAATTTAAGTCGCCTCATTTTCCATATATGAAAAATCTTATACCGCATTGAATTACGATTGACCATG